TACTTTACTAAGAAAAGATAATAAAATACTAAAAGAAAACCCTTCCATATTGTAAATGTCTATCCACAGAAAAAAATGTATGATAGGAAGTAATCCACAGTATTATCATGGTTATTTCTTTTATTCACAGTTTTGTATAGTTTTCAAGTTGTCATAAATCTTTTATGATTGGGGAGGGAGTTGTGTTTCTTATGAACTGTTGTCAAAAAGTCAGTACTTCCTTCAAGCTGTATAAACACATCCTTTCCCCACTAAGCATTCAGGGTCAGGGGAAGTGAAGTCAGATTGATGGACACACAGAAACTATTCTGAGTCAGGAAAAAGCAGTTGATTCACAGACAACTTGTGAACAGTCTTGGCTGGGCAGTTCAGAGCCGTCAGGGTGCGAAGCTTCTCTCTGCCTTCCTTTTGTGTAGGTGTTCACATTGACCTTGTGGGGGTGATGAAAAGGGAGCATTGATGTTGATTCTGCCCACACAAAAAGTGGGAATGTGGGGGCCATTAATGTGCTGGGGTCCCACATGGGTTAAAGAAAGACTTAGTGTTCTTCCATCCAAACAAGAGTCTCTTTAGACTATCATCAAGATTTTGGCATGGTTTCCAAAGTATCTTCACATTGACCAAAGAGCACTGCTACCATGGGCTGACACCCCAAAATGGAACAAAGCAGGATAGACGTTATGTAAAAGTAAGCTGGTGTTTGAGGAAGTATGACTTACGAAACGCTGGGATGATTATCTAAGCCCCCAGTGCTTTTCAGCAAGTATTACCAGCACCTGTTTGTACAGAAGGCGCCTGCTTGCAAACTGTAGCTTGTAAACAAGATACTGCCCCTGTGCTGTACATTAAGGAAGACCAATAATAAAAGATGGTTTATAGGGCTGGAAGGGTATCTCAGTGGTAGAGAGCTTGCTTAGCAAGCTTAGACTAAGTTTGATCCCCATAAAACCTCCCTTTAAAAAAAAAAGACTTTTTTCGGGAGGGTGTTGGGATTGGGGAGTGACTAGAGAGTTATGCAGCAGTTAAGAGTACTTCCTGTTCTTCCAGAGGACCCAGGTTCAGTTCCCAGCACCCACGTTGGGTGGCTCAACTGTGATTCAGTAGCCTTGGCATAGTCAAGTTCAGCAATGGACAATTCATGTTGAAAGATCCCAGGTGTCTGCAGGGGATGGTGTCTGGGGCTGGTTGCATAGGTCTGGAGGGCAGGAAGGACTAGCTGGAGATGAGAATGTAAGGAGCCAACACAGACAGCTGGAGTTGTAGGTACTCGTGATTGTGTGAGGAAAGGAATTGTCTAGAGGCTCCTACTCTCATGTACCCATCCCCAAGAGGCAGGCCAAGAAAGAAGTTTTTTATAAGGAAGAGCCTTGTGAAAGAACCATGAGTGGCTCAGGCAGCTGTCAGCATTTTATATATATTATCCTATGAATTAAACAGAACGACTCTTATTGTAGCTGGAAACACAGGCCAATGGTACATTCAGAGGCTTTGCTGCCTATTAAGTCATAAAGTTATGTAAAGCATCTTAGTTCATTTGGAGGACTGTAATGAAGTACCCCAGGCAGGTTCTTTTATAAAGAAAGGAGAGTTATTTTAGCTTACACTTCTGGAGGTTGAAAGGGCAGCTCACATCTGTTGATAACAAAAGCAGCACAGTGCATTACATGGCAAGAGCTAAGGCATATCCTGCCTATAAAACTCCCAGAAGACTCAGTCATAGAGGCTTCCCCCCAAAGGTTTTAATCTCCATCACTTCCCAAAGGCATCCAAACACTGTGATTAAGTTCTTACCTTCTTAATACCCTTAATTGAGATGAACTCTAGTACTTTTGGGAGTTGTTTTTGTGGTAGTCATTGTTCCCTGTTTGTCTATATGGTAACAACACAGCAGTTCCATTTACCAGTGCTTGGACCTCAGGTACAGCAGCAGGTGAGGGATGGCTGGAGAGATGGCTTGGTGGTTAAGAGCACTACTACTCTTGCAGGAAACTTGAGCTGGTTCCTGACACCCACATCAGCCAGTTCATAGTCACCTGCAACTCCAGTTCCACAGGATCCAATGCCCTATTCTGGCCTAGGTTGACCTCCAAACTCATGTGCACACACTGACATATTGACACATAATAAACAAAACAAATCAAAACTTACGAGAGTCTGATCTTAGGGTTCAGAGTTGCCATTGATTGACAGTGACATTCTTTCAGGGTAAAATTACCCCCTTCCCTCGGTCATGGCTTGTTTTATTTTTTGAGACAGGATACCAGGAGGGCTGAATGGTGTTGCTCAGTGGTAGAGCTAGGGAACTTGGCATGAGGCCTTGCTTTATAGCTCCAGTACCATGAAAGGTTGTAGGGCAGGGGCATGGGTGGGAAAAACCACTAGATCTCTGAAAATAAGGCTAGGAGCCATTTGGAAACCTAGCTAGGGATGGGTAGGTTCTAGTTCGGGGCATCTTTTGAATAGGTTCCCTGTTAACCCAGACATCCCATTGCCTCCATTCCCCAGCTTTCCTCCTTGGCCTATTGGATTTGTTGGAGGTCAACTGTGGGCCTCAAAGCAGTTCTTTACTTTGGTAACTTTTCCAGGACCTCAGGCAAATAAAGGGGTGCCCTGCATCTCCCACAGTCAGCTAGGCTGTGAGTTGCTCCAGCAGACCCTGATGAATGTCCATGAAACCCCCACAGTATAGCCACAGCCATCCTGAACTTGCACATCCAAATACAAGGCGACATTCCTGAAGGACAGAATCAGGATGGATGGAACCTGCATGTGGAGAGAGAGAGAGAGAGAGAGAGAGAGAGAGAGAGAGAGAGAGAGAGAGAGAGAGAGAGAGAGAGAGAGAGAGAGAGAGAGAGAGAGAGAGAGAGAGAGAGAGAGAGAGAAATCTCCTTCCTGTTCAGGAATGCCTCCTAGTTTGGAGGTACTTGACCCCTCTGGGTTTTTACAGTAATCTTTGCTTATCTCTGTCAACACACTTGTCATTTGTTTAGTTTGGTTGTTTTGAGACTTACTTATTTTCGTACAATGTAGCCCTGGCTGACCTAGAATTCATGATATAGATGAATCTTGCCTTGAAGGCTTAAAAATCCTGCCTGGAATCCAGGAGTAAGCCACCACAGCTGGCCCGTTCAGGTATTTGATCCCCACAATCTTTCATGAAGGATCTATTTAGCGATGGTCATTTACTTAAGTTAGTAGTATGGGGAAAAAAACAATCCCATGGGAGATGACTTTTTTAGTAAATTCTGATCTTTGGGAATTGAGTTTACATAATGCAATGTCACAAGTGTCTGAAGTTACAAAAGCTCTCCAGTGCTCTTCCCTGTGTTGAAACTGGTGATCATAGCTTTTCTCTTTCTTTCCATTTTCATGGTGCTAAGCACAGAGCCCAGAGCTTTGTGTGTGTGTTTTGTAAGGCAGTGTCTTAGCTGCTGAGTGGTACTCCCCATCCTCCCACCTCCACCTGGCCTTCAACTTGTACTCCTCCTGTCACAGCATCCCTAGTTCAAGGTCACAGGAGTGCATCATCTGGGACAGTCTCAATCTTTCAATCAGTTTTGAGCAAGTGTTCTTGTTTTTGCTTTTTGGTTTTGGTTCTTCAAGACAGGGTTTCTCTGTATACCCCTGGCTGTCTTGGAACTCACTCTGTAGATCAGGCTGGCCTCAAACTCACATCCAAGGTTCCTAGCTGGGATCCACAAATCCCTATGTCTATGGCTTTCTTTAGGCCCTCAGAAATGTTCAGAACCATTTTATTAGTAGTAATAGCTGGTTGTAGTGGTACATGCCTTACTCCCAGCTTCTCAGAAGGCCATGGCAGTAAGAACACAAGTTCGAGGCTGGGTTGTGCAACTTAGTAAGACCTGTTCCAAACTAAAGTTAAAAAGGAACTAGGGGTCTTGCCTTGCATAGCAGAGCTCTGGGATGGGGTTCAAGCCTTTGTACCTCATAATGATAATTGCAACATTAGTAGCTAGCATTTAGGCTGTGTTTGCCATGTGCCAGGGCTGTTGTATATGTTACTAGACTTTAACTGAAATCGGAGCAGAGCATTTTGCTTCCTTTCTAATATTCCCAACTTTTCAGTTACTGAGTCTCAGAACAGAAGTAACCCACCACTGGACCCTCCCTTCTCCTGTGGTGTTTGCAGGAGCCCCAAACCTGTCCTTACTGCTGTTGTTAGGAGGGGTAACTGCTGCATACTTTGCTCTAATTCCCACTTCAGTTCCATCATTACGCCACCTTCCCAGAGGTGGTTTCCTCCTTTTTCAGACTAGGAAGAGGGGACTCCCTTTGGCAGACAGGTGCTAGCAGCAGTACTAGCAGGTACAGTTGGGATCTGTTTGGAAAGGCAGGCTACCCACCATTCAGGGACCTAAAGAGATGCCCTAGGGGGTTAAGCACTGAGAAGAGGACTTGGCCCTTCCTCCTAGCATTGCCTCTCTTGACAAAATCTGCAGCTTGGTCTGTTAAGCATGCTTTGTGATCAGCTGCTACAGTTGTGACCTGCTGCTGCTGCAGTTGTGGAATGCCGGACTTGTTAATTACACCGTCATGAGCCTAGGCATTGTGGAAAACTAAGACCTAAAAAGCAAGCTGATGAGCATGTCCTGAGCTTTCCCGTGGGTCAGGGAAATTTGTGACTTTGTAAATTTGCATTAAACCAAACCTTTGGTTGCAGAGGAGCCTGACTCCACCCTCTTCTCTCTTCTATTTGTAGCACTTCTTTCCCTTAGAACCGTTTCTGAATTGTTTACTTCCTGTCCTTGAGAAGCTAGCCTTGCAGTGTTATACCAGTTTGGGTTTTTGTTTTGTTTCGGTTTGGTTTCGAATTTATTTATTTATTTATTGATTTATTTATTTATTTTGGAGCATGCCTCCTCTCCTAGTTCAACAAGCTATTATGGCTTCGGGTCTGGGTTCCTGGCTCTTACCGTCTGTCCCTCTGCTTTGGGCTTTCATCCTCCCACTCTGGCCTCGACAACAGAATCTTATCATACCTGTGTGTAGGAACTCTTTCCACAACAAACGCTGGATTGTTCTCACTCCCTGGCCTCCTGGTTTGCTATCACTTACAGCCACTGATCCGAACAGTGTATGTTCAGCTCAGCCCTGATAAAACAAAATTAAAAACCCAATTCATTGTCCCAGAAGTGTTTAGTCAGCAAAAGAGATGAAACAATTTTGACAAGAATGCTGCATTGGAAGATAAGAGAACAATCCCAGCTGCCTGCCGCCGCCTCTCTACCAGGAGGCATTTTTCTGTTCTACTGCTTCTCTTCTAAGAAGTTTCTAGTCCCATTCCTCCCTGAGAGGTAGAGACGGGGGAGCCATTTATGCACCAAAGTCTGTCATTGGGTCTTTCAGATCAACCTGTGAGGCAAGTGAGAAGAGGAATGAAGTATCAGATGGGTTAGTAACCTGCCCAAGCTAACAGAAAAGGGCACTGAGGTCTGGGTCTCACTCTTCAAATCAGCATGAGGGTCCCTTCTCATGAATTCTCTCATTCTCCCTCACTGGGTTCTGAGGTCCTTCAGGGCGAGGACAGTGTCTTGTGTATATTATTAGTACTTTCCAAACATATCAGTTTCTTTCCTCTCCCTCTTTTGTCAATAAAGATAGGCTGGGGCGTGTAAGTTGGCAGTCTGCTAGAGTGTATGCCCACTTGATTCACTGAAGAAATAACAGTGGCACACATGGCATGAATAATTCAAGGCAGTTAAGTATGTGCTGTGCTTAGATGGGTAACGGAGGAAAGGAGAGGAGTGGGGGCAAGTAGACTGCACAGAGGAGAAAGGGGTCCTGAACCTTAGAAGATGGGATAGGGTTTGGATCTTAATGGCTCCTTAGATCTACAAGTCTGTCCTATCCATGGCAGGCCTGGTACTGAATACAGGGTAGGCTGGGGAACCAGGATAGATAAATAATGGGGTACTTGGAGGATGAACTGGATGTTTTCAGGGGGAAAATAAGAAAGTGAGGCTCAGAGCTATCACATAAGGACATTGTCCCATTGAGAGACACAGTGAGAATCACATCTCCCCCCCCAAAGAATGCTTTTTGGATGAGATGAATGAGGGATGCAGTCCAATTGCCAGCATCAATGAGCCTCTTTTAGACTACTCAGCAATACTGTCATCTTCTCAGCAAAAAGTCCGTGCCTAGTGTCAGGGACATAGCTTTTCCTGGAGATCCTCCAGCTTTGAGTTAATTATTCTCGCTTTTGAAGCTGTGACTCCTGACTGTATCTCACAGTCTAGAGTTGTCCAAAGGAAAGGCACTTAGCCCCAGAAGGTTGACACTTAAAACAGACGTGTGGAGTCAGCAAGCAGGACCCAGTTTGCTCCAATGAGGATTCACACACAGTGCAATCTTTAGGTCATAAGGCAATGTAGGGCTGGGTGTGGGGGTGCCCATCTGTAATCCCAGCACTTGGAATGCAAAGGCAGGAGTATTAGGAGTTCAAGACCATGCTTAGTCACATAAGACCCTATCTCCAAACAAACAAACAAACAAAAATAGTAAGAAAATGCAAGGCTTTTGACAACTTTTCCTTAAAGTAATTTTTCGTTTTTTTCATGTCATTAGAGCATACAGGGTCGTAGAGCATATCTGCCCTGTCTAAATTTCTTTTGGGGAATAATCTGGAGCCCTGGTCAGCTTGGATAGCATAGCTCAAATTAGGGTCTTGGCTAAAGTTTGTTTTTTCTTGAGACAGTATCTCACTGGGTATCCCCAGCTGGACTGGAACTCACATGGATCCATCTACTTCTGCCTCCTGAGTGCTGGGATTAAAGGTGTGCACCTCCATTGCCTGAAGCATTTTGTTTTTGAAGGAGGGACACTCTGTGTTACCCATGCTGGCCTCAAAGCCCTGGAGCCAAGCACCTCACTTGCTTCAGCCTCTTGCACATTAAAGTTTAAAGTGAGAGAGATGTCTGTAGATATGGGGAACACTTATGAAGTCACAAAGCCCAAACAGTTGCCAGAAACATTTTTGCTTTTTTTGTGTTTTGAGACAAGGTACATCCTTACTATGTAGCCCAGACTGACCTACTGGAATAGAGGCATGAACCACCATGCCTGATTCTTTTTGAGCTATTGAGTGTTATACCACATATGAATGCTACCTATTGAAAAATAAAATACTTTGAGGAATTTAGTGGCATCCTATGTATCTCTTATTTTGTTTGTACCATTGTCTCATCTTTGTGTAAAGTCTTGTTTTTCTAATTCAGGCTGTTCTACTACATATATTTTTTTTCTGAGCAGCATTGTTACAGACTTTTGAAAATAGTAATGCCAGCTAGCCACCACTTTGTGGCTAGAATAAAAGCTTCCTAACCCTCAAGCCAACACTATCCCAGAATCTTTCTGTCAACTTTGTGGTAGAATCTGGCTGCATAAAGCCCAAAGAAACACAGATCAATCACGAGCCTGTGATTTCATTCAGTTCTGAGCAGGTTCTAAACCTTGATGGAAAGTCTCCACTGGACAAAACTCATCCCTTGCTAGACAACAGAAAACACAAAGGCTGTATAGCAGTGTAACTGACCATCAGATGCCACTAATGGCAGAGCCTTGTGCTAGGATATGAACCCTCTTCCTGGTAGCTATGCAAATGTCTGTGTCTGAAAAATAGTGTAATAACAGAAGGGCTAGACATTTGCTGGAAAGCTTCCAAATATGGCACAGTGAAAAAATAAGCAAGGGGGAAACTTTGGAGTCCAGGGACGTAGTTCCAACTTCTCAAGCCAGTTGTTTTTATCGGATTTTCAATTTTCCATTCTACTTAATGGGGGAAGTTTGAAAGAGCTGTGGTCAGACTTAACAAGACAATTATAATCTTTTTAGTTCCCAGGTAGTAAATACTCTTTACATCATTGGGTATTGGGGTCCAACTGTGTGCTTGGCATTCTGAGGGAGAGATACACTGTTTTGCTTTCTTCCTGTGCATCTACAGTTGCCTATTAATCTGGGATCCAAAAAGTTGTTTTAGCCTAATATTCATTCTTGTAATACATGTACTCAGGAGGAAGGCAGAAGCAGGATGGCCACAAACTTAAGGTTAGCCTGATCTAGTGGCTTTTCAGCAATTCTGAGTTGTCTATGCTATTTAGTCTACAGCTGATCTTCAAAATAATGCCCTTGGGATAGTCTAATACTACTACCATTGTTCATTATGTGCTAACTATGCCTGGCACACTGGTGTTTTATATGACTTATTTTAAACAATATTTTCTTATTTTATGTATGTATGTGTATATGTATACAATGTGTGTATGCACTCGTGTGTGAATGTGGACATGCAGATGTGTCATGGTGTCCGAACTTGGTTGTCCATCCTTGCATTCTATCCTGTTGAGAGAGGGTCTCATCGTCACTGTGTGCCAGGCTGACTGGCCTGTGAGTTTCTGGGGATTCTCTTATCTCAGACTTCCATTTCCCTGCAGGAATGCTGGTTTTACAGATATTCCTGATACACAGCCAGCCTTTACATAGATTCTGGGCATTCAAATTCAGGTCCTCACATTTGTGTGACAAGTGCTGTACCCACTAAGCCATTTTACCAACCCAATGTAAATTATTTCACTCAGTTCTCACTCCACTTCCATTTTTACAAAGGTAGAAATTCAGTTTCATCAAGCTTTAAATAATTTGTACTGGTTCGCATGTGGTGAAACAAGGATTTCAGTCCAGCTTGTTACTAAGTCAGTAACATAGTGACTGGCTGTATGTCTGGCATGGAGGGCAGAGGATGAATCACACTGCTAGTCCCACTCAGTCTTCTTCAGGGTCATGATCTAGGCAGATCTTTTTTATTCCCAAGTTATGGTCGTTGCTTTGGAATCAGGGTACCTATCATAATGTAGCTTGGGCTTGCCTTGAAGATCCACCTGCCCCAGGCTTCCCAGTACTGGTGTCATAGATGTGTCTCATTATATCCCATCCCATCCATGATCGTGATGTGATATCGATAACTCTAATGCTTGCCAGGATGCATGCCATAGTGGCAGTCAGGGTGGGGTGGGGTGGTTCTTTTGGGGGGTGTCAGGGTGGGTTGAGACCTGGTTTTATGAAGACCTGGCTATCATGCAACTCGGTGTAGCTAAGAATAAACCTCACATCCTCCTGCCTCCATCTCCTGAGTGCTGGGACCACAAGGGTTAACCACTATCCCCAGCTTCCAAGCCACATTTTCAGTGGTATTCCCAAGGGAAAACTGATCTTTGGAGGGAATCTGATGAAATGTCTCTGTCCTTTAATCTTCTTCCCTGTGCTTAAGGAAATGCGTTTCCTGTGTTCATATGTGTGTGCTGGTGCAGACCTGTAACCACGCACCCAGAAGAAAGGAGGATCCTGAGTGTAAACCGAATTCTGTAAACATAGGCTGCGATAACTAGGTAGGTTATTTTTGCTCAAACAATAGTTCCTTTTTGAGTTTTTTTTCTTTTGAAAAATGGTTCTCTGATTGCATGTATCTGTTGGAAGAACTATTTGAGATAACGAAGCTACCACATATTACACATCCAATAAACTGTCAACAGGATTAAGAGTCGCAAGCAAATCTAGACAGGCTTGTCTAGAGAGCATGTAGTAGCAGTTTGTACAGCTGAATACAGTCTCTATCTCAAAGGGTCTGGACATCCAGACTTAATAAATATTAGTTGATGAATAAGGCCAATTCTATCGGGAACCCGGGAAGTCATTTACGAAACAGAATATCCATGCAGCCACCTACTAACTAATATTCCTTTAGTCCCCCGTGGTTCAGTTAAACCGTAAAGTGAGCATTCGGACACCTCGGGCCTCATCTTAGTTCTGAGCCTCCAGGCTGAATATGGAAGCCTCTGAAAAGAACATCACGCACGAACGCGAGTCTGCCGCTCTCCATTCCCGGCGGCCCACGCCCACGCTCAGCTCAGCACAGCAGCAGCCTCCGAGCCCCCGCTCCGCCCTCTCTTCCTGGTTTTCCCCGGCAACCCGCCCCTCTAGCATCACGTGACAGGGCGCCGGCCAGACCGAGCCCCTGATAGGCCGGGCTTCAGGGCGCCTCGCGATTGGCCCGGGGCGGCGGGCCCCCGCCTCCCTCCTCCTCCTCGCCGCGGCCCACGTGAGGGGGGGCGAGTCACGCGATTTCCGGGAACCCGTCAGGAAGGACATAAACAAAACAAACCCGAGGCAGCATGGAGAGGGGCCGCGGCTGCTACAGCGCGGCTGAACCCAGCGCCTGAGCCACCCTCAGCCTCAGGTGAGCGCCGAGCGTCCGCACGGGCGGGCGGGGTGCGACGGCTCAGGGCTACGGGCGTGGGGCGCGGGTGTCCGGCCCCGGCCGAGCGGGGCGGGGGCCGCCGGGCCGAGGGCGCGCGGAGCGGGGCCGCCGGTGCGAGCTGGGCCAGGCTGCTCCCGTGGCCGACGGTTACATAAAAGGCGGGAGCGCGGACGGGCGTCCGTCCCCTCCAGGACCCGGCCCTTTGCGCTTTCGGGAGCGGGGGGCCGCGGCTGCCGGCAACCGGCCTGTCAGAGCGGCGAGCGGGTGGGAGGGGCCGGGAGGGAGGGGAGGAGAGGGGCGTGTGAGGGAGGCCGGCACGGCGGGCGCTCGGAGGGTTAGGGACGGAGGCGCGGGTCAGGCGCACTCTTGGCAGGGGCGTCGTAGGGCCGCTGCTCCCCCCGGCCCCTCCCCGGAGGCGGCGGGCGGCGGGGGGCCTCCCTCTCGGGATTTGTTTATATGTCCTCTCTAAGCAGCTTGAACGGCCCGGAGGCGGAGCCCTCAAAGGCGAGTGGCGGCCAATGCCGTCCAATGGAGTAGGAGAGCGGGGGCCCTGGCGCCAATGGGTGCAGGGAGGCGGTACCGCGGGGCCCCCAGTAAGTTAGGCTGTGCCGGGGGTGGGGCGGGCGGGGCAGCCATATTAGATGGGAGGGGACGGGGATGGGGGTCACAGAGCTGGGCGGAGACGGGGTTCAGGGCATGGATCCGGGCCGGGGGCGGGCCGGGTGTCGGCTGGAGTCCCAGCGGACCCGGAAGCCGCCCCGAGGATCCCGACCCGGCTCGGCTGCTCCCGAGAGCAGTCTAGCCTCCCAGGGGGCGGTTCCTGGGACTAGATGGAGCTTATTCTGTGGCTTCTCTCTTGCTCGGCCCTCTGTTGCTTGAAAAATCCTGCCGCCAAACCCTGTAGTCGCCCTCCTTTAAACCCGAGAAAGCAAACCGTTCTGCTGTTTCTGAGCGGGCTTGAGTCTTATGACTACCTTAAGGAGGTATTTGGTAACTATCGGTGTGTTTTCGTACCAGGCCTCGAGTAGAGGCTGTCAGAGGAGCTTCTACATTTCTGGGTTTTGCAAAGAGAAAACCGGGACTGGAAAAGCAGAGAAAGTTGAGGTCTGGGCGGGGTTACCATTTTTTTTTTTAATGTGGACATCTTCCAAAGATTAGACCCCCGTGCTTCTAAATCTTAATTTGCCTCTCTTGCTCACATACATTAGAAAATGACATACATCAACTTCATGAGAAAACTGAGGAAAGTGTTTAGGTCTGAAAGGTCTTTAGGATTTTTGTCTTTCCAGTACCAGCAGGTGAGAAAGAGGACCAAGGACTGACTTTTTAAAAAGCAGAAAACAGGAGTTTTTTGTAAATCATGTGGCAAAATGATTGTCACTTGATTGTACTTTAAAATATAATTTTTCAGTGTTATCTAGTCTAAAATAACCGAGACATACTCCAAGGGGGGAAATGGTATGGATATGTAATTAGAAAATCAATTATTTGTGTTGTGATTGTCTTGGCTCCATGTTATCCTTGTTAAAGGCTTATTTAAGCTTCCGTTAACATGAGCCTATAGCCTGTGACCACATTCATATTGCCAAAGGTACCAGGCTATTGACGCACTTAGGAGTAGGAACACACTTTAGATATGTCATTCTGGGGTGCTCTTCAAGAGTTGAGCTGAATAATCTTAACAAATGGTAAATAAATTATTCATTAACTTTGGTATTAGTTTTATGTGACTGACCCTCAGTTTTATTAAACTTGGTAAAAAATAATAACCCCAGATTATTTGATATATTTTAAAAATTAAGTACAATTTTTATTTATTTGGGTTTTTTTGGAGATAGTATTTCTTTATGTAGCCCTGGCTGTCCTGGAACTCACTCTGTAGACCAGGTTGACCTCGAACTCAGAGATTTGCCTGCCTCTGTCTCCCGTGCTGGGATTAAAGTACTGCCACCTGGTTAGGTATAATTGTTATAGTAAGTAAAATATTAACCTTATATTTTACCACTTAATATTGTATTGCTAAGTTCCAATCTGCTATAATGCCACAATCAGTTATAAAAGGAACCAAGAATTGTTTTACTGATACCTATTCAAGGCAGTTTTCATTGCTTATGTAATAAATTTCTTAAGAATGGCAATGATGTACACCAGAACTTATTTTAACTAAAATTCTTTTACATGCTTAATATACTTTGGGGCTTAAAATTTTTAAGTAAATTAGTAAGCTTTGGGGTTTAAAGAATTGATGTTGAGACAGGTTTTTTTTTTTTACTGTGTAGCCCAGTTAGTTTTGAGCATCAGGGCTTCAAGTATTTCTCCCATGCTGGGACTACAACAAGTACCACTGTGCCTACCACTGGAATTTTTAGTCAAGACTGACGATTGGATTTTGAGATTGATGAGCATAGGTTTATTTTCAGTTAGGTTTGTACCTGGCTGTTTGGGGAAAGGTCTAACATTCCTGGTCATAAATTTGTCACACTGTTTTTGTTTGGTCTTGTGAGATGGGTTCTTTCTGTGTTGCCCAGATTGGCTTTGTTTTTTGTTTTTGTTTTTTTGTTTTTTTACAAGACAGGGTTTCTCTGTATTGTTTTGGAGGCTATCAGTCCAGCCCAGCCTCGAACTCACTGAGATCCACCTGCCTCTGCCTCCCGAGTGCTGGGATTAAAGACGTGCGCCACCACCGCCCGCCTCCAGATTGGCTTTGAATGCCATGATCTTCCTGCCTCAGTATGCCACAGTGCCCAGTCGTTAGTTCTAAATTATTCCAGGACAGGATTAAGTATAACAATTTTAATAATCTCTATTATTAAAATTATTATATATTATTAAAATTATTATATATTATATATTCAGCTGTAATGTTTGTGTGGTGATAAGAATCCAGCGTAGAGAATGTGTTTGAGCTATATTCCAGTAAAACTTTATTTACTAGAGCAAGTTGTGCCTACTGATAGCTCATGGCTATTGATAACCTCTGCCTGAAGACATTGGCAGTATTTGAAGCGCTCAGGTGGTAGGGACTTGCAGAGGATGTAAATACACACCTCAGGTAGTATTGGCTCAATAGCCTAACATAAATATCTTCTGCCTTGAAAAGTTTCACTGTAGGAACATAGGGCACAATCCTATTTTAGACTTTTACATTCATATAGATGTTTTGAAATGGTTAAAAGTAATGATTGGTATAGTTCTGTTTGTTTTAAAGGTGCTGTTTTATCTTTTTGAGATTTGCATCTTAGTATTTAACCAGGCTGGCCTTGAACTCACTATGTTGCCCAGCCTGGGCTATAACTTGTTGTTGTTGTGTGATTTTTGTTTGTTTTTTGAGATAGGGTCTCCAGTTGGCCAGGCTGGCCTCAAACTCATTACGTGGCCAGAAAACCTGATCCTCCTTTGCCAGTAGGGGATTATAGGCATTCACTACCATGTTGACAAGATCTTGTATTTTATTTGTGATAATTGGGTTTGGGGGGGGCAGTAGGGTTGAGAAAGGGTCTTTATATAGCCCTGGGATGTCCTGGAACATTCTATGTAGACCATGCTGACCTTGAGCTCACAGAGGTCTGCTTTCTTCTGCCTCTTAAGTGCTGGGGTTAAGGGCATGTGCCACCATACCACATCTGGTTTGTGATAATTGTTTTTATAGCAAGGTCCCTTTTGTGGGGGCACAAAAATTGTTTTTCAAAAAAAATTTATTGCACTTGTTTGTGTGTACAGGCATGCAAGTAAAGGTCAGACACCAACTTTGAGGAGTCAATCCTTTCCTTTCACTGTGGGTCTGAAGGATTAAATTCAGGTTGTCATGTTTGGTGGCAAGTGCATTTGTTTGCTGAGCCATTTTGCTAGGCCTGTAAAATCATTCTTGCTGGCTACTCTGATTCATACTTGTGGGACAAAGTAGACTAGGAGAGTGCAGAGCACTGCTGTTCTGTTCCGTCACTAGCCACGTCTTACCTGCTTATCACAAAATTCATGATCCTTTCCCCCAAAATGTGTAAGCAATTCTCTAAGTTTCTATTGATCTACTAATTGCAGTTATCCAATTTTTTCTTCCCATCTGTCTGTTTTGAGACAATCTTAAGCTAGACTTGCACTATAGCTCAAACCGGCCTTGAACTCCTGATAGTCATACCTCCACCTCTCAGGTGCTGTGATTACAGACATGAGACACCATGTCCAACTATTTTGTTCTTTCAACACTAACAGTGCTTTGATATCTCACTTAAATAGCTTTTCTTTCCTAAGATAGGGTCTAACTATATAACGCTGCCTGGGCTTAAGCTCAAAAAGTCCACCTGCCTCTGCCTCCTGAGTGCTGGGATTACAAAGGCATGTGTCTCGGTGCTTGGCTAAGTTTGCTGATCCTTTATTTTTTCTAGATGGAGTTTCTCTCTTTTTTTTCTTGATGTCCTAGAACTTACTCATTAGACCAGAGATCTATCTGCCTTAGTGGTGGATATTTGCTACCACGCACATCAAGCTTGCTGATTTTGTTCTTTGGGTTTCTTGAGTGTCTCCAGGTACCTTCTTGAGTATAATAATTGTGTCT